GGCATTGGGAAGCATTGTTAAAATTGCTTGTTATCTCAATAGCACTAAATTATATAAGTTAAACTTATTGAGGATTAAACGTCTAAATTTATATTGTTATTCAGATGCTGATTATGCAGTAATAGGGATTATGCAGATAATGATTATGCAAGTAATATAGTATTGTGTGTCCATGGGAGGATTTATATCATATTTAGATGAAGTACCGGTAATCTGGAAAACTGTTAAACAAAAATGTGCAAGTTTATCAACCATGGAAGCGAAGTTTATCGCCTTATCGGAGGCAGCGAAGGAATTAATGTGTGTGAAAAATGTCTTACAAGATGAAATTTTAAAGTTTAATTTAAGAGAATGTAAACTATTTTGCGATAACAAGTCTGCCATCGATTTTTCTAAATTGCCAATAGAAAATCGCCAGACTAAGCACATAGACATAAAATATCACTTTATTAGAAGACTAGTAAATGATGGAGTGCTTGACCTTGAATTTATCACCTGTAAATTAAATACTGCAGACTTATTTACAAAAGCGGCGACTGTTAATTTAAGGAAGTTTTGTTTAGATGTTTTCGTGTTTAAAGACAATAAGTGTTTTCATATAATAGAATTGAACTATGTGTTTCTGTAATTCTGTGTAAGTTTTGTTTTTGTCTTTGCATGAGGAAAAGAGGGCCGTTTCTTGACTTTCCTTATAAAAATTTTGATCAAAGGTCAATCGGCGGTAAGCTAACATGGTTGCCGCTGATTGGCCGATGACGTCAAGATCGGTGGGTAGGCCGAGTATGTATACATGTACGCCGGTATCGGCGAATGTGTGTATGTTCTGAATTAGCATTATGCTAATTTTCTTTCCCTCAAATGGTTTTAAACGTAAAGGCTACAGCGTTAACTTATTTTATTTTAATTTACAAAAATAAAGCATGAATTTTAGTTCGATTAGTCTTAGCTTTATTTAAGAGAAGCAAAATATGCTTTGCCTAGATCACCACTGCTAATAGCTTCAATAAATTAACATAACAACAAAAAATTTCAAAGAATACCATGTACACAGCATTCTGTTTAAACTTAAGAAAACAGCTACAAATTTCACAATCTAAGCATTGCGCACAAATCAACCAAATAAATTAAACTAAATTACAAACAATTCAAAAACAATAATAATAACAAAAATTCATAGTAAAAAAATGAACATAACATTCTACAAAATAAAATGCACTTACCATAATACATTCCTGATTAAAATTTCGCCAGTCACACAACGTCTCTGAACAAAGTGCCACTATTTTGCTATATCACGTCTTTCTGAGATTTAAAATTTCGAAAGTAACGATGGAAACTTTCTCCAAAGTTAACTTACTACACCAAAACCACAATCCAAACCTTAAACTCCGCAGACAGCCACATACTTTACCAGCAACCATTTGACTGCAAATCCACACAAAAACTATCAGAAACGCCCTTCTTCGTCCGAGTTCTCATAGCAGCTCCGCATTTCGGACTTCGGTTTTAAAATTCCCACAGAAATTCCAAAAATACACTTCAATTGTCATAAACACACCCGTGAACTAAAGACTCGTTAACAACTCCAAAATCGCACCTTTTAATACTAAATTTACTTTCCAAACAATCTAAACTACGCAACTGAAATCTTCCCACCACGTCTAACACTGCAACCATTTCAAAACACGCACAACACGAAGAAACAAGCAATTAAACCACTCCAGCAAAAGATTTTTCAACATCAACAGGGTTGCGATACAACACGCAATCGTGCCAAAAACCAGCGCAGAACACGTATTGCCACATTTGGTAAAATTAGGGCGCATATAAGAGCAGAGCCCCGATTTCTTTATTAATCAAAAAATTCCTTTCTATAATGCCTGTCCATGTGTCCAAAATTAGAAGCATTTTTAATATTTTCCATGCTTGTGTCTAGTGTAAAGTAGAGAAAATAAAGGGAAGATAAACATGTTTAAGAAAAAGATTCTAGTATCAGAATTAAAACATTCAAATACAATCAAACGTCGTTAATCCGGACTCGTCGGGACTTTGGCGATTCCGGATTATAGATCATCAGTTTAAATCTGGTAAGATGGCATGCAGAAATTATAAAATTAAAACTATGAAACTGTAATTTATGAAATAAAGAACAATTATGATCTAAAGAGTAGCAAAATTTACAAAAAAAAAAAGCCTAATATTTATTTGTTTACTTTATTAAACATTTCTTTCAATGTAAGTTGTTTAAGTTGCTTCGTTTTTTATGTGATAATACTTTCTCTTTAATTCTATAAACAGACATAATTTCCTGTTCAGTTACAAAGTTCTGCTGTTCAAGTCCTATAATTGCTGTGTCGAGAATACCAACTAATTTGTCAAACAAAATTTTTTCGTTTTCAATAACCTCTGTGTCACTTTCTTCGCTATCGAAAGCGAATTATAATGATGAGGAATTTGATTTAAATAATATCAAAGATGGAGTCCATCGAGATGAAATACTACATTTAGTAAGGAATTATAAGCCAAATTAAATAAAAACATCTGCCTTGAAGATAAGGATAGTGCTGACAGATCAACTTCCAATCCATTGCGCACCGCGGCGTCCCCCCCCGCTGCATAGCAGTGCGAAATTGATAAACAGATTTTGAAATGGTTAGATAAACAAAGGATATGCCTTTATCCATTTTTTGAAGCAATTCCACATTTTGTTTAATGGACTTCGAAACATACTTTCGCTTTGTAGATCCTTTACATATTAGTAAATATATATCAGAAATTCTATTTGACATAATCGAAAGTTCAAGCTTACTTTTATAAAATTGCTGTAACAGTCTGCAAAAAATAATAAGCCGGATCCAATTCGAAGATTAAGGAACAACGCAATCTGCAACATTAACTGAATTAGATAACTTTAGCTTAGCTTGTACCATCCGTTATACATTAAACGTGCATTCAAAAACGTATTTTGCGCACACGCATATTCGCAGCCGTAAAGGTCTTACGCGAATGCATCAACGCGACGCATGCGCAGAAAGTTTGTAGCTTTGAGGTTCAAATTATGGGTGTCCGAATCAACGACTTTTGACTGTATTTATTTGTTTACCTTATTAGAGTTGTTTAAGTTGCTTCATTTTTTGTGCTAATACTTTCTCTTTAATTCTGCAGACAGACATAATCTCTTGTTTAGTTACATTGTTGAAGTCTTGTAGCTGCTGTTTCGAGAATTCGGACTATTTTGTCAATCGAAATTTTCTCGTTTTCAGTAACTTCTTTAGCACTTTCTTCACTATCAATAGCAGTATTTTCTGGATCTAGAGCCATACTACAGATTTCGCATTCATTAATTGATCGATTGATGACTGAGAAGCATTGTCATCAAAATGAAAAACTTTCTTTATATCATTTTATTTATTACCGTTTCTCCACATTTCTTTTCAAAATCCGTTAATTGGAAATTTTCACCTTTGTTTTTGCGATATCGGAAAACTTTTAAAATTAGCGGGTATCATTATCAAAATTTCCTTCACTACACATATTTGGCTACACATCATGAGCTTGGCAACTAACGACAAGTTGTTCCGTTAAATTATCGCACACTGGGACAACTAAGCTTGAATTGTATTAGTTTAGTTATTTATTATACTTATGTCTATTTCTTGCACATGCTTAAGGCTTATCAGAGCTCTGAATAAATAAATTCCCACATATACTTAAGCCTTATTGAGTGCCGGTGCTAGATATCTCACCATCTGATGCAGTCTCTGTGAGTCCTAAATTCTGCGGCCATACCGAGCCCTGGCCGAGGTTTATGGGAATAACAAATTAGTTAATCTTAATTCAAATAGCCCTAAATGTAATCTTTGGGTCTATGAGTATCATCAACAAAATCTATTTTTAGCATATGGAAAGAAATTTTTGGTAAATTTTTCCACATCAATATTTTTTAGTGCATTTAACTTAAATCATCGCCAAGCGTAATGTCAACATAAAAGTTTATCATACTTCTTTATTATGCAATTACTAACATAAAAAAATTGTTTAGGCACATGTTTTGTTTAGGCAATTGTTTAGGCTTTATGCATGTGCACAAATGCACATGCATAAAGCCTATGTGCACATGCATAAAGCCTACCAGAAAAACGTAGGTGGTGGATTGAGGTCCGTATTTTAGATCATTCCGGATTTCGGACTTTATACTATATCACCATTATTTTAATAAAATATATCAATGTTTAAAAAAGAATGTAGAAAAATTCCCAGATCTTGGAATTCAAAATTTACTACAGAAACTGATCTTAAAAATTGGCAAAATGTTCATAAGTCGCCAAATTTAGAGCCATTCAATAAAAGAATTCACATCTCCAAAGGCGAAAAGTTGTTTAAGATCTCTTCATTAGGAAAAGTGAAATACTTTCGAAATGCTTGTTTCCCTTCTTGCTCAGAAACTAGAGTATCCTACATTTATATTAGAAATAGGAACAAATTATAACCCATTCAAAAGATAACCATGTTTATCAATGAATCGCTAAAAATATACCTCCAAAACGCTAATTCACACTCAAAATAGCAGTCGTAAAAATATACAGAAATTTCACGATTAAAATTAAGGACCTTCTGCCAATTTTGGCTGAAATTAAGGACCAAAAATCAATTTCAAAAAACTCAAGGACTTTTAAGGACTCTTAAGGATAGTACGAACCCTGGTATACACATAGTTGGCATATGACATAATATTTTTTCTTCCAATGCTAACTATCAGATAATTTGGAACAAGTTAAACAATACTCACACAATCTGTGCATTCATGCAAAACTCCTGTATGTGTGATACTTTATTTCTCATTATTCTTACCTTCATTTGAATTTGGTATTCATGTACCTTCATTTGAATTTGGTATGAATATGATAGAAGTCAAGAATTTGAACAGCAGATTTATATACAGTTACATTCTGTAATTTTTTCTTCAGCTATACATTCATAACAAATGAGATATCACTTACCTTCTGGACCAAAATTTAGGGCTGTTACATGTAAACCCATTTGTCTCTTGGGTGTTTTGCATATATTTACACGATGAGGCGTTTCAGATGCATTAAATAGTCTGCGTGAAGAGCTAACATTACTCTGTCCATATTTTAATGAAGCAATAACAGACTGTGTTTGAATCTTCTGGTTGACTTGAAATTTGGTAAACTTATTTCGATTATTCTGAAATCAATAAAATAAAAAGTTTATAAAATGTTTAAATAAAAAAATTAAGGGTAGTCTTTACAAGAATTGCACAGTTAACTAATATTACAAATAAGTGCAATTTAAAAATGCATTACACACAAGAAAAATTATCACGAAACTTTTCATAAATATAAATTAAAAAAAAATAAACATGCAAAGCATATTCTTTGCAGACACTGCGATCCTGCACAAAGTGCATTTGTAGATCCAGTCATCCAACAATTATAAAACTACATACATGCATTAAGGACTTTGCTATCTAGATGGAAGAAGTTAACATTGATAAGATGCAAGCCATCCCCTTTACCAGAAAGACTAAAATAAAGAAAAACCTCAAGTTCTATGGCACTTCTATTTGGAATATGTAAATGTATTGTATGCACTGTGGTTTGGACTTTTTTTTATACTTTTATGTATTTTCTGTATTGCATTCTCTGCATAATATTATTACTGTTGATTTGCTATAATTTACTTCTGTCATCTATCCACCAACTCAACAGCCTAAGGCATTTAACTTCAGATAATACCCTGCTTAAATAGTTCCACTTATTTTTTAAAATTACTGATCTTTTTAAACCTACTAAATTTATTTAAAAACTGATAATCGGATCTCTGACAGGTTATTTGCCTTAAAATTCGAAAAGTTAAATATTCTGCAAAGTGTAGGGCTTCAAGTCCAGGTATTCTGATGTCTGACACCGCTCTGCTGGAGGCCAGAATTTATTCTCTGCACAGCATTCATTTATTAAAAACACAGTAGTACCTCCTATAAGGAACACCTTTATTTAAGGGACAATTCTGTTGGCCCGGTCTCTTTCATTACAGATCTTTACATATTTACCTATTATTAATAGATGTTCTATTTAAGGGACACTGGAAAAAAGTTTCAAAAATAACACAGAAGTAGAGAAATAAATAAAAAAAGAAATTCTCTGTTAGTTATCTTTTGACGTTTTTAGACAAGTTTGTACTCAGTGAAAGATAGTTTTGTGACAAGAAAATGATGAAATGAAAAGTTAATCCCCATCTTTTGAAAACTGCTTTTCAGTAGGGAAAAAGAGAACATTACATTGGGGAAAAGTAAGTTGTGGTGCAATCAAAAGGATATTTATCATTCACAGAATTCAAAATCCAGTTATTCTTGCTATAGTTCTCAGTAGAAGAAAGAAAACAGTGTTAGCAAGTTGTAAGGCAATCCAAGACAGGAATCAATGGAAAAGAAATGGTAGCGAGATGACTGGACCACCTGCCAAGGCACAATGATCTCACAATGTGAATAAAGCGAAAACTTCTATCATTCTTACTTCTTGCTATGACTGAGAAGCAAAAAAAGTTTAGTTTTGTACTTGCACGTTACTTGTATATATGGTTAAAAAGCATGGCATTAAAGAGGAAATGATTAACATTAAAGCAAAAAAATTGAGGTAATTCATATATTATAAATTGAAAAGCTTAGTTTGAAAAACCTTATTTTTAGGTAGGGAATTTGGAATAAGTAAAAAACCAGAAGTCATCTGATAAAGAAGAAATAAAAATATTATAGATTACTAATTCAAATTAACATTCTAAGATTGTAAAATTTAGGAAAACTGAAGCATATGAAATGGATACAGTAGCATTCAATTGGTTTTGTTCTGTAAAACCAGGGGTGGGCATTAAGTAGATCACGTTCAACCGGTGGACCACCAAGATATTTCGAGGTGACCACCTTTACTAAGACATAAGACAAGCCTATCAAAAGAAACATATTTACGGAATACTGACACCAGCAAGACTGGAGAATCAGCTTTTTACAATCGATGCGATTGAGTTTCTTTAAGCAAATGATTTGATGAATGTGTTGACGACACATGTACCTTCATTGGAACCACACGATGATGCTTAAGTACATACATCGGTTACAGATTCACTGGTTCATGAATGTTCGCTGCACTGAATGCATCCACAGCCTAGCAGTCACTAAAGTTCTTCAAACATTCAACTTGATAATTTTGTGTTACTTATGTTTTTGTAATAAAAATAGTAATATTTTAAAAGAGGGGTACGATGTCGAAAACAAGTGTTAAGAAAAGAAAAACATACAATTTTAATACAGAATGGGAAGAACAGTTTTTGTGCTACATATGTTATGCACGTGTGACACTTCCAAGAAAAGGAAACATTGAAAGGCACTTCAAAAGCATGCGTAGAAGTTTTGACACAAATTTTCCATTAAAACGTGACTTAAATTGCATTTCTTAATATAACAATCAATATTTTATTTTGTTATACTTTTTAAAATTCTTCAATAGCCATCAAACAGGAAAAAAAAAAAAAAAAAAAGATCTTTGAAATAACTGGTTTTGACTTAAACTATGACAATTTGATAAATGATCTTACTTTGTTAGGAGTCGCAAAGTTCTCCGAATTCAAAGGATTTGAAGTTTTGTTACAGCTACATTGTGTACCAGACTGTTTAGATGAGCTACCTAAAAATGTAATTAAAAGGAAACATCATTTGAACTAAAATTTTAAATCAAATATATCAGTTACATAATCTAGACCAAATGTTGGCAATATTTACTGTTGTTTCAAAGTTATGTTGCAGAGATACTTAGTATGTCAACCTAAGTCTAACATATTTTTATGTACAACAACTATTAAAACACATTAATTTAATTTGGTATTAACATATTTCCAAAACATCAAATAACTTTCTTTGAAGATTACTCAATATTTTAATACAAATATAAAAAAATACAGAAAATAGTAATTTGCTTCTACAAATTACTAAATTTTGAAGAATAAAACAAAAGCAAAAAATATATTGAAAAATTTTTATATCAGTTATCACTATTTATCATTAAGCTGAACCGTTAATAAATTAATAGGGTCCTCTTAAGTTAACTAAGTTTTGTTAATATTGTTGCGTGTGTACGGGTTCGTCACGAAATGAATGCACAGGTCCGATGAAAAATGAACAAAATATTTATTATTATCACAACAAATATGCTTAAATTTCCTCAAATTATCATGCAGTATTACAATATCTCACAGTAGTTATCTTTTAACTACTCAAACGTTCAATAGAACTTAATTCAAAACAGCTAAAGAAAGCTAATCCGCGAATTCACTACAATCAACAAGTGCAGTTTTCTAAACAAACACTTAAAACAACAACAAGCTAAAAATAACTGAATGACTGAATTGAGAGGTTTTCCTCCTTTTTATAAGATTTTTAAATCGCGCGCGAGAACTTTCTGGAACTTTCTCGAAATCAAAAAGAGATATTTAATAAATGTTACATGCACGCGCTCTTGTATTTTCAAGCTTAGCTTTCTTTTAATATTCGTCACGCACTGCACTGCGCGGGAAATAAAACCATTTAATTTACAATTCAACCAACATTAGCTATTTAAATGCCAAATCTGTAACAACATCATATACACATTTGGTTGCTTTGTACAAAAGAGCATCTTCATGTGAAAAAATTTGTTTACACATTAACATACACCTCAAAGTTAAAAGCAAAACAGCTTTCCACCAACAATAAAGAATAATTATTTATTCTAATGAGAATAAAACTTTAGTTTTATAAATCTGTAGGGTTTTCCTTATTTTGCATAATAAATGTATTATCAGATTTTTACAAGATCAGTTAAATACTTCTTAAGATATTTTAGAAACCTTGGAAGTTTGACTTCCAGCGTGTGAGACTGTTGCCATTCGGAAAAAATGATGGCGAAAATTAGCACTTTCAAGTTTTTAATTAATATCTTGGTTAATTAAATTCGTACGAAGATGAGAATGGTTGAAATGGCTTCCCATGAAGTTTTGGAGTCCGGGAGTACCTCGAAATTCAACTCCTCGCGTTTCCGGAGGAGTTGATGCCATAAACAAACAGACAGAAGCGCACATATTTTAATAGTATATGTAAGCAGAGGAAAATACTCAAACTAGACAACATTACATTGAGCAAAACTTTCAGTTAACATTTCTATTAATAGAATTAGAAACAATTAACTTTTAAAGAAGTTTCACGTTAAGGAAATAAATTACAAAAAGCAAACAAATATTTCTTTATTAATGTTTGCAAATAATTTTCTGAGGACACGACACAGAAAACTGCAATATAAAAGGGCGGAACTTTTTGAATCCATAAAAGGAAATCTGAACATGTTAAGAAATTAATCGAGCTCTGTAATTTCATCCTGTGAAAAATATACAAAATTTTGTTAGTGTAAATGAGGTTTTCTGAGTTGATAATGAGAAAAACAAGCAAAAGAATCTTTTAATATTAGTTTATTACTGCAGGTAATTTTCAGAAATTCAGATGAGAAGAAAAGTTATATTTAACATTCTTATCCAATAAGACAACAGAAAAACAATTGTACTAAAACAATATCTAAGTACATTAAAAATATATATATATAAAGAAGTCTGTGTGCTGTTTGTTCGTTATTAACTCGGTCACTACTATAGCTATCGTCACCAAACTTTCTACAATTCTTTTCTGGGTCCTGGAAAAGGTTGACATCCACATTTTTCCAAAAAAAAGTAGCTAAAATCAGAGATATTGATTAAAAACTTAGAAAAACGATAATTTTCACCCTCATTTTTCCGAGTGTTAACAGTGTGGCAAGCTGGAGATGAAAACCTGCTTTGTTTTGAGAAGTGCTGCCTCTGCTAGCTTTCAAATCCTAGAGTTTGTTAACAAAAATTTCTAAGTTTTGCGATGAAATAAAAATAATATTGCCAAACGTTAAATATATTATTGCCGATTCCAAAAATTTGTGCGAAGCCATGTCGAGTATTCCCATCTTCGTACGACTTTAATCAGCCAAAATATTTGTAGGGTTTTCCTTATTTTGAATAACAAATTTATTTTAAGTTTGATTACCTGTTTTAAACTTCTCAAATTCCCCTCACATTTTCTAGTCAGAACGTAAGGCTGATCTTTGGAATATGGTAACTGGTAGTTTGGCAACATTTTGGAGGCGATAAAGATTACTACCTAGGACTTTGGTAATAATGTCAGAAGTACTCAGTTCTGATTACGCATTATTTTGTGTGAGGGAAATGAGAGATCATGAGGTATGTCATGTGACATTAATGGACAAATTACAGTTCTTTAATCAGAAAAGGGGGGAAATCTGGAAATTTTGTATTTAGCTTTATTCTGTGTTGTGTGAAACAATTTTGGTTAATTTTTGGATCCCATGGCCCTAAATAAAGTGAATTCGAAATGGGTATTTAGTGGGATTGAAAGGGGTAGTAATAAGTGTTTTTTTAAGCTTGTGCGAGATAGAAGTAAAGATGTTTTATTAAGTTATTTATTTTACCTGGTACCTTGCTGTGAACTATATGATTTTAAAGATCCTGAAACAGGCACACATACACTTGCTTTTTATTTAGCGGAGGAAATAAGAAAAGTTTATCGGCCACGTAATCAAGATTCTGAAGAAGATTAGGTAAGTTAGTATTTTTAATTATTTGAGGATAATATTTTTACGCATTGTTCTAAACGTAAGGAGCAAATAAAGTAATATGGTATTATTGGAAAATTGTTATTAGCAATGATTTAGTTTAAAGTAATTAGGATTGTAAGCTAATTTTTATTAATTTATGTATGTGCTTATTTATATTTTAAGTAGTGTTTTTGAATTTAATTATATTTTAATTAAATGATAGTTATTTTGTGAATTTTATGTTTGTAGGAATTTGGTATACGTTTCAGTGGAAGTAAACATGCATGGAAATAATTTAAATATTTGACACTAAGTATTTGTAACCATTTGTAATGTTTGAGGTATGAATTCGTTGGTGACGTTTATAATATAATACTAGATAATTTAGAGGTAAAAGTTTTTGGATATTTTATTTATTTTATACGTGGAAATGTTCATCTTTGGAAAGGGTATTGCAAGCTGAAGGTATAAAAGCTTGCATAGTATACATACTTTTTTGCGATCAGGTAATTTCATATATGTTCTTTTTACCGGATTTCAAAGATTCACAAAAAATTTCATGCATTTTCGTGAAATTTTTCTAATTTATGACAAAAAGCAGTGTACATGGATATAATGAAGAGTGTGCGCAATGCCATTTTTGTGCAATTCTGGTATGTTTTTTAAGTAAAAATAAGTCGACGTGTCATGGTTTAGTGATATTTAATTAAATGATAGTTATTTTGTGAATTTTATGTTTGTAGGAATTTGGGTATATACTTTCAGCTGAAGTAAACGTGCATGGAATAATTTAAATATTTGACACTAAGTATTTGTAACCATTTGTAATGTCTGCGGTATGAATTCGTTGGTGACGTTTATAATATAATAGATAATTTTAGAGGTAAAAGTTTTTGGATATTTTATTTATTTTATATGTGGAAATGTTCATCCTTGGAAAGGGGTATATACTTTTTTTCGCGATCAGGTAATTTCATATATAAGCTTTTTACCGAGTTTAAAGATTCACAGAATTTTTTTGCATTTTCGTGCAAATTTTGTTAATTTATGAGAAAATAGCAGTGTAGATGGATAAAGTTAAGAGTGTGTGCAATGCCATTTTTGGTGCAATTCTGGGATTTTTTTAAGTAAAAATAAGTCGACGTGTAAATGGTTTATGTGTATGTGCTATTCTGAAAAACGCGCAAGGAGTTGCGATTGTGGACTTTTTCCCAATTTTGCAGTTAATATTTGTCATGATTAAGCAGTTTTGTTACATAAAATTTCTAGCATAAGTGTAATTCGGCTAGTAGATTGTTGGAAAAAGTGTTCAGTAAATAAAAAGAAAAGAAACATGTCTTTACTTCGTGAAGACAAAATGGTGGCGAAAAAAAAAATTGAGGGTTGCTGTAGCAGAGTTGGTCGCCAAAAAATCGCCAAGTTACCATAATTCAAAGATCAACCGAACGTAAATTAAGTTAAGTGAAGTGCTATTTAAATGTGTGAAGATATCAGTTTATTCAGAGCGTGTTTCACCAGCCACGTGCATGTTTCGTTGTTATTTTGCGATCATGCTAGCAAGCCTCTTGGCCTTATCAGATTAGTATCACGCCTCTTAGGCATAAACTTAAGTGCGATCTTGCACTATTTATTTCAGGTTTGACTTGCATTATATTCTACATTTAATCTCCACCGCAAGTGGATGGTGTTTTTGTAACACACGAAGTCCGTGCCTTTCTGTTAAATTAGTTTTAATTAATGCAGAGTTATCTTTCACCCTTCTTCTGTGCTGGTATTTAATTCACAGCTGTGCGAGAATTTGCCATGTTCATTGTAGGATCTAATTTAGTTTATGTGAAATAACAGAGACAGATGTTACAAATCCATGAATTTTACTATGTCTAAAGACTTCCATTTTGAAGGGATGTAAAACTGGAAAAATCTTCAAAAATGATATGTTTCTCTTTCATTAAAACTTTTTTTTTAATGCTATCAGTATCTGTATTTCAAATCACTCATCATTTCAAACAAATTTGGGTACC